CTGGTGCATCTCTGTGGCCGCGCCAACCCGAGCTCGCGCGCAGCGACCGGCTGTGTGGCGCGACCGACGCGAACGCGGTGGCGCTGACTGCTCGGCGCATCTCATCGGGCACTTCAGTGCGAGTCGTCGACTTGGGTGGGCGCGGTATCATGGCAACGTCGACGACGGTAGACGCGATGATGATAGTGGCGATGCTGGTGACGATGCCGACTGCGACGACGGGGCAGCCAGTGACGGCGCCGATGCTGATCGCGCTGGCGGCGACGACGGCGTCTTCGCCTCGGGACTCTGGAAGGAGTTCGAAATGCGTGCGCTGCCGGCGCGCGAGAGTGGCCCGCGTGGCATTATTTGACACGGCCCGTGCCACCCCAGCACGCGCGCAAGGGCGTTAGAACGATTTCGACATGAGCGCGCGCGGAGCCCGTCTGGTAGCATGTTATGAAACATTTGGACACTTTGTTGGTTTTCTGACGAATCTGCAAGAGCGCGCGCGAGCTTTTTTTGGACATCCGTCTTGCGAAACTCAATTTTGAAAACCTTAAGAAATCAATGGTTTTTGAAAGATTCCGGCATGCGCGCGCGACGACGCTCGCGTGTGCATTCCGTTTTGTTTCTTTGCGAGGGATTCTTGGCAATTTATGGTTTTTGATCAACGAGTGCGTGTGCGTAGCATTTTTTGCAAAGGATGGGGGGGGTCGATGCCGGTTGGGCTGGGATGGTAGGAATTCATATTTAGGATGGACGTTGGGGCAGAATCGTATGTAAATTGCAATGCGAAGAGGGGGGCCGACACCCGGGAGGGGGTGTTGGTGGTAGAATCAATTACTTTTTTGACAGGGGAATCTAGGTGGCAAGCAGTGCGAAGCAGTGCAGTGCAATGCAAAGCAAAGCAAGACAATGCAATGCAAAACAATGCAACGCAAAGCAATGCAACGCAACGCAATGCAACGCAATGCAAAGCAAAGCAACGCAATGCAATGCGAAGCAAAGCAACGCAAATCAAAACAGTGCAATGCAATGCAACGAAATGCCAAGCAATGCAATGCAATGAGATGGATAGCGACGCAATGTGCAAAGAAATGCAAATTAATGCAAAACAATGCGAAGCAAAGCAACGCAATGCAACGCAAGGCAAAGCAATGCAATGCAAAGCAATGCGAAGCAATGCGAACCAACGCAAAGCAAAGGCATGCACAGCAATGTGCAGGAGTTCACAGCAGAGCAAGGCAATTGCAAATCAGTGCAATGCAACGCAATGCGAAGCAATGCAAAGGAATGCGAAGAAATGCAAACCAGATCGATTCAAAGCAAAGCAATGCGGCGCGGGCAGGGGCGGAAGCAAAGCAATGCAAAGCAATGCAAAGTAATGCGAAGCAAGGCACAGCAGTGCACTGCAATGGGAAGCAATGAAAAGCAAAGCAATGCAATGCAAAGCAATGCGAAGCTAGGCAATGAAAGTCACTGCAAATTAATGCAATGTATTGCAGCGCAACGCCGAGCAAAGCAATGCAAAGCAATGCGAGGTGATGTAAATAAATGCAGCGCAAAGCAATTCAAAGCGAACCAAACCAATGCAAAGCAACGCAATGCACAGCACATCGAAGCACAGCAGCGCAACGCAAACCAATGCAATACAATGCAACGTAATGCAACGCAAGGCAATTCACAGAAAAGCAGAGAACTGCAAATCAATGCAAAGCCAATCGATGTAAAGCAAAGTAAAGCAATGCAATGCAAATCGGCGCAAATCAATGCAATGCAAATTAAGACAAAGCAAAGCAATGCAAGCTAATGCGAAGCAATGCTATGCAAAACCATGCAAAGCAAAACACATGAACGCAACGCAGAGCAACGGAAGACAACGCGAATCAATGCAGAGCAATGCACTGCAGAGCAATGCGAAGCAAGCCGATGCAAACCGCTGCAAATCACTGCAAAGCAAAGCAAGGCAAGTCAAAGCAGCGCAGTGCAAAGCAAGGTAAAGCTAATGTACACATTCAAAGCAAACCAGCGCAGAGCAAAAGCAATGCGGCACGGGCGCGGGCGGCACGGGCGGCGCAGGCGGCACGGGCGGCGCGGGGGCGGCGCGGGGTGGCACGGGGGCGGCGCGCGGCGGCGCGGGGCGGCGCGGGGGCGAAGCGGGCCGGCACGAGGGCGGCGAGGGGCGGCGCGGGGGCGGCACGGGGCGGCGCGGGGGCGACAAGCCCGCAGGCACGGCCAGATGGTTCGACCAAGTAAGGGGGCCTAGGCTTCCATTGTTTGGGGAGAAAGGTCTCAGTGTCGTGCGGGGCGACGCGCGCGTCGACGTCGGAGCCGCGATTGGGGGCGGCCTTCGCGGATGGGGTCCCCGCGGCAGCTCCCAGGAGGCAAGCCAGGGCTGGCGAGGCCACTGAAGGCCAGGAGGTGGGAGCATTCCTCGGGGCCCCCGAGGCCCTCGAGGAGGACCAGCCGCGCCTTGCCCAGGGCGTCAAGGAAAGCAGGAACGAGGCCAAGGAGGAGTTCGACCACCTCTACCTGAGCAGCGGGGAGAAAGGGGGGGGGACAGGCAGAACAACGCAGTCAATTGGGGCTACGGCAGTTCCATAAACGCCTTCGAGCAGTGGAAGCGATTGCGAGAGAGGAACACAACAAGCAACAACAGGCATCCAGACAAGCTCCACATTACCAGATCGACTTGAAGGAACAGATCGCGAATGCTGCGGTCGCAACCGAGCAGATGGCAGCCCGCGGCGAGTGCCCCCAGTCCAAATCCGCGGGGGCATCGCAGGGGGCCGAGGAGGAGTTCGAGGCTGCCAGAAGGACCGCCAGTAGCATCGCGGACCACGACCGCCGTCAAGACGACCAAGGCCACATTGCCAACATCCAGAACAGGCTGCAAGTGGCCCAACAGACAACTCGCCGAGCGCGACGACGACCGCGGGAATCTTCAACAACAGCGGCAATTGGTGGAGAAGACAGACATGGATCCACGATCGAACGAAGCCCAGAGGATTAGCGACTTCAGCGAACAGGTCCAGCTGCGCAGCCAGTGGAGGGAATCCGACAATCTGCTCCGCAACGCCACCTCGAGATGCAAAACCAAGAGGCGAACGGAGGCCGCTATTCAGAGCGCCCAGGAGTATCACGACGAGAAACCAACATCGAGAGATTCGTGCGACCTGGAGATGCGTGGCCCAACAGCACGAGCAGCATATTCAAAGCGTGTTCACGGACATGAGCAACTACCATGAGCAAGATCAACACCGCGCATCTTAGGCAGAAGGTCAGCTACATCTGGCATTTCAGCGATGGGAAACCAGCCCAGCAGAGCAGAAGGTGGCCCGCCAGCACGACATGCACGGTAACCAGCAAGAGGAAACTGCATTGAAGGAACGGAAGGCAACTCGCGAAATACGCACCGAACAAGCGTCCTGGGAGTGCTGCAACGTGCGGCAAGCTGCTGCGCTAGCACAACAGCGCCTGGACAACGTGGCCATGGTGGACGCAATCGAGAAGGCCGTGATCACCGATCTCCCCAGCGACGAGGAGGAAGCCTTGGAATTCACGCTGCCAGTCCAGCCAATGGCTACGCAAGATACGGCACCAGGGCAGACGCAACAGACGCAATCGCTCGGCCACCAAGTAGCTCGAGACAGCGCCAGCTGGGCCTCAATGTCAAACCGCCGATCGCTGACGACCCACAGTATTTCATCGGCTCCAGCAAGGGGCCGCCGTGCCCCAAGCGCGACGCACGATCCAAACGGAAATGAGATCCCCACGGGGTGCGCAGACTGCGACGCACCAGTGCCAGGAAGATCAAGGCAGCATGCCAGTTAATTTGGCAGAGGTGAGAGGGAACAGGATGAGGAGGAAACAGGGGAGGAGGAGTAGGAGGAGGAGGAGGACGAGGAGGAGGAGGAGGAGAAGAAAGAGGAGGAGGAGGAGAAAGAGGAGGGGGTGGAGGAGGAGGAGGCGGAGGAGGAAAGAGGGCGGAGAAGGGGGGAGGGGAGGGGGAGGAGGAGGAGGAGGAGGAGGAAAGGGGGCGGAGGAGGGGGGAGAGGAGGAGGAGGAGGAGGATGAGGAGGAGGATGAGGAGAATAATTATGAGGAGGAGGAGGAAGAGGAGGAGGTGGCGGAGGAGAGAGGAGGAGGAGGACAAGCTAGGTGCGCAAGCGCCTTATCTGACGTCCCACCCCTCCCTCCCAGCCCATACCATGGCGCAGATCTCTTCTCGATTCGCGCAGTCGGATGTCGTAGCCTAGCATAACATTACATGGCATAACATGGCGAACATCAAGGCATAGCATGACATAGCATGGCGCGGCACTGCGTAGTCAAGCACTGCATGTCATATCATTGCAGCTGAAGGCATGGCATCGCACAGCGGAACACACCATAGCATTGCATTGCATGCCGTGGCATGGCATTGGAAATGAGGCCAGCGTTGCAGCGGGAACACGATTCGGAACGAGCAGAAACGCGGAAATGAGGCCAGCGCTGCAGCGGGAGCGCGATCCGGAATGAACGGAAGCGCGGAAATGAGGCCAGCGCTGCAGCGGGATCACGATTCGGAATGCGCGGAGGCGCAAAAATGGGGCCAGCGCAGCAGCGGGAGCAACACTTTGAAGGACCGAAAGGAATCGGATTGTCAAAGACACATATGGAAGCCACATTCCCGACCATCCTGTGTGTAAAACAACAGCACGCGGAGGGGTGCCGGCCATCCCCCGCACAGACCCAGGGGAGAGAGGAGGAGGAGGAGGAGGAGGAGGAGAGGAAGAGAGGAGGAGGAGGAGGAGGAGAGAGGAGAGAGGAGAGGAAGAGAGGAGAGGGGAGGAGGAGGAGGGGAGAGAGGAGGGTAGTCTTCATATTGTGTCACTGTGGAGGAGGAGGAGGACAGGAGGACGAGGAGGGAGAACAGCCGAGCGACACGCCGTGTGATCGGACAGGCGTGAGAAGGAGCACGACCAGGAAGCAGCAGCAGAGGAGAAGGAGGAAGCAGCAGCAGAGGAGCCGCTGAGGACTATGCTCAACATCACCATTTTCATGCTGAAGGCGCTGAAGTCCTACGCGTTCGGGCAGGCCATCCCTTGGTCTGCCCGCCACTCCTTTGCCGTCTCTCTCGTCGCTTTTGCCCTTCTTCTTTCTCCCCCCTCCATTTCATCATCATCATCATCATCATCATCATCGTCATCATCATCATCGTCATCATCATCATCATCATCATCATCATCATCATCATCACTATCACCATCATCATCATCATCAGCACCATCATCATCACGATCATCGCCATCGTCATCATAATCATCATCGATGAGTCTCAGTCATCATCGTTTTCCTTCCTTTCCTCCCCCTCCTCCATCTACTCCTCCTCCTCCTCCTCCTCCTCACGCCTCCCTCGCCGCTCACTTTTCCTTGCGCCCGCCTCACTCCCCCTCCGTCGCCCTTGCTGCTTCGGCCGCCGGGCCCGCTGCCGCCAGCGTCACCTGCGAAGGGAGGCCTCAGATCGCCACCTCGGGCGAGAGGTGCCGAGCGATGCGAACAACTCTGGAAGCACGCGTCCTCTCGACGCGGCCAAACCAAGGTGTCGCGGGATCTTGTCGTTGCTGATCTTGGGCATGGTGCCTGTCGGCCGTCGCCGACTCGCGAGGATGATCCATGAATCGGCTCTGACCAAGATCGACGCTGACCACGTTCGAAACGACGTTTCCGTGTTCAGTCTTGGTCATGGTCCCCGTTTTCTTCCCCTCCACCTTGGGCCCTGCTTTGGCTGGGAGTCCCAACAGGAATCCCGCTGCCCTATATGCAGCAGTGATCACGCGGGCGCGGCCGGTGCCTCTGGGTTCGATGGCCGTGTGCTGGTCGAGGCCCTTGCGAGGAGTTGTGCCGAGCATTCTGCTGGTGTGTCGAGGACTTCCGTCGTGGCCTTCGTGGTACTTCCTTGTCGCCAGAGGGGGTGCGCACGGGGTGCGGTCTCTGTTCGTCGCACGCTTCCAGGGCGTGGCAGACGTGGCACTTCCTCCCCACCAATAATGGCGCCCAAAATTGCCATCGACGCGCTGTCACTTCCGTGCTCGACGACGAAGAGCTGCATGATCGAGATGATTGTCGAGGTCGAGGTTCGTCTGGATTGCTTGCGCATGTTCTTTGTCAGGCAAGGCTCGAGTAGGAGATCGACTACATAACCGATTTACCCCCAAACATATTTATCCGTCGAATCTACGACGACGACGTAGAAGGGTTCGTAGATCCACGGAACATGATGCCTTTTTTTGTGTTTTTTTGTTTTTCCTTGTCATTATTGTTATATACAACTCTCCAAACAAACATATGATTATTCTTGTGGTAGGTTTGGCGGGCCATTGATGTTGGGGTACATCAATTCGGTAGTCGACCTCCTGTTCGCAGGGCGTTCTTGAGCTGGCTCATCGTCCGACTCGGGGCGCGGCCCCACGCTGGCAGGGCGCGGCAGGAGCCCCGCGGGAGGAGGCGGCACTACCCCGCGTGATCGGGAGCCGTCTTCGCCAGATACAAATGCTCGAGTAGTAGATCGTCTACACTCGAAAGCTGGGCGAGGGCTGCTAAAACCGTGGCTGCTAAAGCGGCCCTCCCGGAAGGAAAAAACAGCTTCCCGGAATGAGGCGCGGCACGCGAAACAGTCAACGGGCTTCTTCCCGGAAGGCGAAGACAACTTCCTGGAGGTCGATTTTAGCAGCCACGGATTTAGCAGCCCTTGCCCGGCTTCCCATACACCGTTGTCTCATCCCCACATTGAAATGTTCATGGAACCTACGCCAACCAGACGCAGCTTTTCGTTGATCCAGGAACTTTGTACGTACTCGGTTGGTTCGACGAGAATTTGATTATGCAGTAAATCAATGATTTAGCCGATCCTTCATTCGAAATGCTCAGAAAGAAGTGAGCTCAGTATGTGGGGTCCTTCGGTAGCGTTATTTGTGAGGCTTCCTTTCGACTTCGGTCTTTCTGGAGGGCCTGTTCTGGGAGCCCGGGGTTCCTTTGCCGCCCCTTGGGGTATTCTTGGGGGCTGTTGGGTGCCTCAGAAGGCCACCGCTGTTATTCTTGGGCCGTCCTGGAAGCTTCGGAGAGCATCGGAGAGGTCCAGAGAGGTCCAGAGAGGTCCGGAGAGCTCCAGGGGGGGGTCGGTGCGTGCAACCAATCGTCACCGGGAGGGCGAGCGGTGGCTTCTTGGAATACCTCTCGTGGGCTCTACTGGATAGCTTGCGGGCATCCTAACGCGCCCATGTCGCGCGGGCACGGTGGCGGATGATGAGCTTTACCCTACGGGCTGATGGATCGGTGGCCTGGGGGCCGTCGGGTTGGGCACGTCTTGGTATTAGTCTGAGGCTTCCGAGGCCATCTCGGGGCATTCTTGGTGCAGTCTTGGGCCAAGAGAGATCGACGTCAGAGTCCTCGGGATTTCCAGGGCCGGCCGTACGTTGGCCCCGGGTGCCCCCCGAGAACGGAGCCGAGCTAAGGGTGGTGACAACGGTGGAAGGGGGCGGAGCTGGTGAAAAGGCGGGAGCCTTCAGTCAGGCGATCGCAAACATGGATCAAGGGGGCGTGGATTAGCGACGGGTGCCGCTTCCATAGGAAATCGCGGATCCTCCCCCGATCCATGGAGGGCTCCTCCCCCGATCCATGGATTTGACGACCGCGCGCCAAATCCCTGGATCGCTAATCCATGTTTGCGCGCCCCCGATTCAGACAATGGGCGTTCCAGCGCGCCCAGGCGGGCCGAGGTCACAGCGGCGGATGCTCACTCCCTGGCCCCTCCTCCGTGCCCATCCCCGTCTAACCGCTGGGAGCTGCGGGCAGCTCGGGAGAGAGTCCGGCAACCTGCAAGATCTCCGAAGACCTCGAAGGCCTCAAGACATCTTCGGTGATATAGTTTTCGCATGCCCCCGGCGACATTCGAATGCCTCTTCTCCTCTCCTCTCCTTTTCCTCCTCCTCCTCCTCCTCCTCCTGTAGCAACGCAGGGCAGTGTGCAATGCAGAATTTTCTGTGCTGGCCGCAACTGTCTGTGCTCAAGTGGTTTTCGATGCGGCGGATGGGAGATTTCGGCTGGCCCTTCTCCCTCACCTGTTCTTCGACTGCAGATTCGGCGAGCGATACCCTGCAGCAGACCCAGCGGGTGAGCCCTTGTGCGGTCGTGCTCTCCACTTCGGCCAACGCCTGCTTGAGCTCGCAGGGCATCTGGTCGACTCCAGGGTCGTCGGGCCCGGCCGTGTCTGGCATCGCCCTGTCGTTCGCTTTCGGCGCGCTGCTGGTGCTGCCGACTCAAGCTCTGTTTTGCTCTTTCTACGTGACGTTCAGGCTGGTTCTCGCGGTCGCGGTCGCCTACAAGCAACCAGCGGCTCCGTGCGTGTGTTGGCCCCATTGCCGGCGCCACCTCAGGTCGATCGCCAAGATACAAAGACGTTCGAAAAGACAGAGATTGTTGGGACTGAAGCCCGGGGACGTGGCGTACCTGAACTGCGGCGTGGAAGGGGAACCCTGGCATGAGCGGCTCATCCCGGCGCTCGTGGAGGGGTGCGCCTACATCGTCATGCCCCCCAGATGCAGACCTCTGCGCCGAGACGATCAGCAGGGAGTATTTGGAGGACTTCTTCTGGAGGGCGGCCCCGGCGGGGGGGCGGACGGCGGGGCTGGGCGCGGCGCGCGGCCAGCCCGTGTGCCGCTCCCAGGCGCGGCCCGTGGGGCAGGAGCTGAGTGACCCTGCTCGAGGAGGGCCGGGCCAGAGCGGTCGACGAGAGGCGCGTGCCGGGCTTGTCGCCGGAGGAGTCAGCGCCCCGCCCGGTGGCGGGTGGTGCTGCGGCGGCGCCTCTGCCGCCTTCAGCAGGACCGCCGGGGTGGGCGCCAGGTCCCGAGCGCTTCAAGTTGGCGTCTGTGGCCAAGTGGTCGGCCGTTCCGGTTGGTTCAGGAGGGGAAAAAACACACAGACACAATGAATCGTCGATCCCCTGGAAAATGTGGGGAACTATGGGAAGTGGGGGGGGGAGAGACGAAAACCGAGAAAACATATGTCAATATGGGGAATCCACGGGTCTGTGTGTATTTATTTGTGTGTCCCTGGGCTCCATTATTGGCAGCATCTTCGCGCTAGCTGAGCGCCGCAGCTCCCCATCCGACAGGTTCACCAGCATGGGGGCGGTCGGCCTCCATGGCGTGGGCCTGCGCGGGGGCCCGGCGGTGCTGCGCAGGATAGAGTTGGGCGTGACTGAGGACGAGGTGATGGCGACCTTCGGCCGCGTGATCAATCAGGCGATCACACTCATAGATCAAGGGGGCGTGGATTAGCGACGGGTGCCGCTTTCAGGGGAAATCGCGGATTTCCGTTGCCGAGCGAGGCGGCACTGGCCACAAGGGGAGGGCACCTCCCCCGATCCACGGAATCGGCGACCGCGCGCCAAATCCTTGGATCGCAGAACCATGTTTGCGCGCTCCCGAAACAAGAAGGACAATGGGGTGGGGGTGCTGGCACTCCGCCGAGGCGGCGTCGGTGGCGGCGAGCCGAGAGGACGCCCGCGCATTCCCATTGTCCAGGACAACGGCGGGAAGCACTTCAGGGACCTGAAGAGCGTGGTGAGCTCGTCCGAGCAGTTCGCGTTCTCCGACTGGATCTTGGAGGGCCCCCGCGCGGCGCTGTACGTGATCAAGGAGATGCCCGAGCAGGCGGGTGGCCCAGTCCAGCGGCGCATGATTTGGAAGCACAAGAACAAGCTGCAAGGGGAGGAGCACAGAGCGGTCACCCACGATATGCTCTCGGATATCCTTGAGCTGGCGACGACCTTCGACAAGCTCGACGCGTTGAACCTCGCGTGCCTGTGCCGCCGCGCCCAGTGCATCGAGCAGCGCGCCGAGAAGAAGCGGGGGACTGGCAAGGACTTCGACGCTCAGGTATTTTACCCGCGCAGGTGGCGTCGCACTGGCGGCGCCGTCGTGGGCCCTGGGCTGCCGAAGTGGGTCGCCCAGTCGGCTGCCCGCGACTTGGCCATCTTGAAGGAGGAGAAGAATGCCGACGAGGAACGCGCGCGTACGCGCGCTCCCAAGAAGTCA